ACAAACTCATATGCCATCAAACCATAGTCTAAACAATCAAGAGTTCCGGAAGCTTCTAGAATATGCCTAAAGAGTGTCTTGGTATCAAGAAGTTTTGTCCATTTGTCCTCAGGAGGAGCCCAGTAAGTGGAGGCTGTGTTACTGTTTTGCTGCTGCCGAGTTGTGTTACCACAGTAGTTGAAAGGCAGCAGAGTTATGGCCCTGGCAGTGGTAGAGAATGTACAAATATGACAAAAACAGGAGTCCAGAAAGGCTGCTTCCTGGAAGTGTCTGACCACTGCCTGGGTCTTATGTGATTAAACTTGGAGTATCTAGTGAAGGCTGGAAATTTAGCCCTAGGTAGGAGGCAGGGGAGCCCCTGTGGACACTGTCTCAGCCTGTTTGGTTTGCTGTTGAAGGTGTAGGAGCTGGTTCCTGCTGTGAAGCTTTATTAGAAGGTTCATGAGCTTCCACGACATTGTCCCTTGATTTTTTTATGTTTTTTTTTATTCTGTCCTCAGGGTTTATTTTGCCTTGAGCCCAGGGTCAGGTGTGTCCCATGACAGTCTGGTTCACAGCCTTGCTCCCTTGGCACTGTCTGAAGAGCAAGTTAATGCTGAAGTTTTTACAGCACCTCCTTTAACTGCGACTGTCAACCAAATGTTTCAGGCAAGGCAGGAAATTGAGAAGCAGCCTGGGGAGCTAAATGCTTTCCTGTGTGTGTTCTACCAAATTTTAAAATGCCTTAAGAGCTTTTGTGTGGCATCAGGTTGTATTTTGAATGTTGGGGTATATGTCATGAAACGCTGTGTCACTTTTCTCACTAAACAGGGCTCGTTGCACTCTGATTTGTAGGACAGTTGCATTCAGATGACTTCTGAGCAGATGACTGAAGAGATTCCTTCCCAAGTCCTGGGTGATGGGAGAGTTCTGGTGAGGTCTTGTAGCAGAATTCCCTCCTCGGTGCCTGAGGGCACATCTTGTGAAGTTTTAGAGCTTTCAGCTGATGGGTCAAGTGTGGGCAGATCTGTGATTGGCTTTTCAGGTACTGTAGGGTGTTAGGCAGCAGACCTGCAGTGGACTTTTTAGGAATCAGGTAGTTGATGTACAAATAATGTACTTTTTTAAAGAACAAAAGAATGCTGCAGTCTTCAGCCCTCAGCCGAGAGTATGTTTAAATAAACAGAACTGAAAACAAAGCCTCTCAGCAGTTTTGGACCAGTTCTTGGGTTGTTACTTTGTTAGGCAACCTTTTAACAGAAGCAAGGAGCACTTCAGACCACTTGTGGCATCCTGCCTGTGCATATCTTTGGTGGCAGTATCTCAGGGTCTGTAATCACTGGGGATGTGAGGGTCTGGAGGCCAGAACTTGCCCTCCATGACAGACAGAAGGTGGGGTACCCTGCCAGTCTCCCACAGTGGACTGGTTGGGCACTGCAGCCACCTGCAGCAGGCAGAGCTGGGTGCTGAAAGACTTGCTGCAGTTGGACTTGCTGGGGTTGGACTTGGGCCATGGAAAGACGTCTGTTAGCTGGATGAGATGGGATGTGTGGGAGCAGGTGCTTAGATGTGGTGAAGGAAGCAATTCTTTGTACTTATCTCCCTCAAGAAGTTTGTGTTCAGATGATCCTGGGGCCCCAGGATTTGGGAAATCCTGTTCTCATGTTGAAAAGGAAAGCATTGATGTTTGGAAATGCCCTGTAGCAACCAAAACTCTTCAGTTCACTGATGACGTTTATAGGATCATATGATTAGAAGACACAGTGTCTGCATACCCGAGTTAGCTAAAATGGATTTGGAAAGCAGACTGGGTGGCCTTGCTCCTGGGGGCTAAATACCAGCTTGTGTGAGCAGCAGTCAGAGCTCTGGCAATCTGCAGATAGGGAGTACATTACTAGCTAAATTAAAAAACAAACAAGCAGACAAAAAAAAAACACCAAAAAAGGTACTTATGTACAGATGGGTAGATTATGTTCGCTACAGAACTTGGTTATCTCCTGGCAGCACTGTGGGAGGTGTCAGGTCTTGGTTATGGTGATCAGGGAACTGGGTTACTCAGGGAGAGGAAGACTCAGCTGCTGGTAGCCTTGCCAGGCATGGTGTTTTCCCTGGGTGGATGTGTGCCAGGGAAGTTAATCTGTACAGAAGCTGACACATGAGCTGTACCTGAAGAAGGTGGAGCTGGTTCTAGTTCCAGTTGGCCCTAGATCCTGTCAAGCCTCACAGTTGCTCCAAGGGTTACACCCATTGATAATCATGACGTAGAGCCCAGAGGAGCCATGGCCTGCACCCAGCAATTCCCCTTTGCTGTGCTCATTTAGCCTTGGCCTTTCCTGCTGGTTTTTTCATCTTGACTGTGGATTTTCTCTTTGTGGCTTTGATCAAGGTATTCCTCTGGCCTGCTGTGGTTTCCCTGTCTGGGCGAAGCAACTGTCTTACTAGCCTGCAAAGTCTAAATATGCAGAGCAGAGCTGGGGGACCCTTTAGCTCCTTGTGTTCTGCTTGCTCCTGCTGGTTATGTCTTCTGGATGGAGAGCCCAGCTTCATCTCTGCAGTCTTGACCTGCTCAGTCCTTTTTGGGAGTTTTGAAGCTTCTCTTGCCCTTAGGATTATATAAACTGGGTTGCCTGTCTCATTGCAATGCCAGAAGACTTGACAAGGGGGATATTTTGCTGATATGCTTTGCATGAGCAGCATGACTGACAGGATCCTGCACCAGCACTGTGGGCTCTGCCATGGAGCAGTGAAGAAGCTCCAGCTGTTCTTTGGGGAACCGGCTCATCTCACTGCACATGTTTGAGTTTTGGAGGGTTAGTGCAAAACTTGGTCTTCTGAGCCAGCTCTCCACAAACAGGGTTTGTTTTTCTTCAATTTGAGTAATCTCTATGAACTTGGGCCATTATATCCTGGATCCGCTCGGGAACTGAGGATACAGGATGTTGCTGAGAAGAGACTTCTGATTTATCTGCTCATGTCTAACTGTGGCAACAGAGGGGATATTGATAATAAACCTAATAATGTCTGAGCAACTTTTTTTAAAATTGAAAATAAGAAATATGTCCCCAGGGAGTGGGCTCAGAAATCACAGCTGCCCAAAAAAAAAAACCAGTGAGTGGTCCAAACCAGCTGTTTGGGTCTTGATTCTGACTCTTGAGTTTTTGATGTTTCTGTTGTAATATTGGTTTTGGGTTCAATGACCTGTTGACAGTTGTGAGGGAAGGCTGTGGGTTTCTGAGCTGAGCCTGGAGGGAGCCAGGAGAGGGACTGGCTTGGCTGTTCATGTTCAGCTGGGTATGAAATTGGGACTGAAGTGCACTGCAGATGTTATCTTTGGACTTTAGTTACTTTCTCACTAACTGGATCCGTGAAAATCTTGCTGCTTTTCCTTTGTACTTGCTGAATGACATGAGTCAGATATTAAAGCAGTGACTTCAGGGTCCACCCTAGGATGGACTCTGACAAGGAAATGCCAAAGAAGTTGTAATAGAAAATGGCATGTTTCCTGCTGGACGGCCATTCCCTTCCAGCCTGGAACGGGGCTGCCAGGGCAAGGACACGGTGCTGCCTAGATCTGTCAGATGAGGAGTACAAAGCGCCTCAGTATAAATACTCCCAGGACACAGGGAGTGAGGGCAGTTTTATTCCAATACTCAAAATGGACTTTTTTCCTCCGGACTTAAAAATAAACAACGCTTTGGCTGAACAAATGGAACTGACCTTTTTATTAAAAGCATATATCTTTTCCTGCCTGATTCAGCAAGAGGCTTTCAGAATTCAAAGAACCCTGTAACTTGCAAAACAGCTGACTTAAATAATTCCAATAGCACTTACTTTTTGCTCTTTCAGGCTGGAGAGCTTGTAGCCTTTTTTTAAAAAAAAAAAAAAAGGAAAGCAATAAAACTGTAGCTCTAACCCTGAGTGCTCTTTGCAAAGGGGGAGAGAGAGGCTGAGTCTGCTAGGTTCATTTTTATATTGATGGAAAGATTCCCATTTCTTTTGATGGGGACTGACCTGCCTGCAAGTTCAAGCCTCTTCCTGTTCAGATGTAGAGGAGGGATTACAGATAGTTCTCCAGCTGTCACTTGGTGGTGAGACCCCCGGTGAAGTGCTCTCTCCCTCTCAAACATGTTCACCATGAAAGGAGCCATCCTCACAGGCGAAGCCCTTGGTTGTGTAAGAGTTGCTTAATTTCCAAGCCACGAAGGAACACTTGTGCTTGTTCAAATCGGCGTTTTCAGGGCTCCATACTGGGTTTTTGTTTTCTTCCTCTGTAGTCTGGCCAAGCCTCCAACCAGGAACAAGCCCATATTTTCTTTAGCTATTTTAGTTTGATTTAGGCTTAGCTGAACCCGATGAAACTGCGGTTGCATGGGAATGTTTGACTCCTGTTGTGCACAGAAATCTTGAAACAAAAAAGCATTTCCTTGGATGGGATGATAAGGGCTTGTTTGCCTGCTTCACCTCCACAAGGTGGAGATTGAAGATTCCCCCCTACCCTTCTAAATTAAACAAACCTACTAATTTTAATATTTCTTCAGGAAGTTTTGAGGTTGGGGTTATTTTTGTTTGTTTTTTTTTTTTTTCTTTTATTCCCCCAGACCTTTTATCCTTTTCACTGCTTTCATTTGAGCTTTTATGGGTTTGTTTCTCTCTTGAAATCCCGCCACCAGGATGAAATGTCATTCCAGTGATGATCCCAGCAGTGCTGGTACACAGGGATTGCTGTCCTGTGCAGTCCTGTTTACAGACACAAGGATTTTGGTCTTTCCCAGCAGTACGAGGTTGTTGGCTTCTGTTCAGCTTGTGACTTATTGTAACCCCAGCTCTTTATTTCTGCACAGCTGCCTCTTAGGGACCAGGCTAAAGGAAATTGGAGAGAATGGGATGTTTCTGAATCTGCAAAGCTTGCCTGTCTTTGGGATTGAGGTAGCCTTGCCAAGGAGGAACAGGGCTGTTGCTGACAGCTTGGGCGAGCTGCTGCCTTCCATCAAAGGCAGAGGGTTCTCTGTCTACACGTGGCTCATCTGTGCCAGCTCCTGGTTTGTCACGTTGGGCTTTTTCTCTCCATCTTATTCCCAATTCTTGTGTTTGCTGCTTGTTCCTTCTGCTCTCTTTGCTGGGTATATCACAGAGGTGCTGAAAGAGTGATGTGGAAATCGTGATCAGTCTAATATGTTGAAAGAGAAAGGAGGAAAACTGGCCCATTCTCCTTTCCTGGGAGCTCTTGGAGCATTTTCAGCGCTTTGGGGGGGTTAATACCCTCATGTTCATTGCTGGGATGTATCACATGGGATGTGGAAAGGGAAGCCTGTATGTTTGTGTAAAGAAACAAAAAAAATAAAAATCAAAGATGGGCTTTGGGATCTTTTTGAGTTTGGTGGACAGGCTTTGAAGGGCTCAGAAAGCACCTGAAGACAGCTGAGACATGGCCCTCCCTGAACTGAGCCACACAAAGGCGTTTAAGTGCCTTGTTTAGGTGAAACTCTGCAGCTTTTACTGGGGGTATGAACATAAGTTCTCAAGACAGCTAGAGCCAGAGCGACACTGGCTCCTGGGGCTTCTGGCTGCCTTCTCTGCATTGGCACATTGGGCTTGAAAGGCTTCTTCAGGTTAAAGGGTGTGTACCAGGAATTCTCTTACAAAAGGCAAATCTACAATTCTGATACTAAATTACGGAAGCAGGACACTTGAAGCCTTAATTTAATGGTAAGGCAGCCTAGCAAAGCCTATTGAAGGGGACAGCAGACAAATAACACCCACTGTTGTTGTGCCCCCAGGGCGCAAGCCCTGGTGGGGAGAGGGGGGTCCAGGGTACCGGGCTCTCACCGCGGTGCCATCCCCACAGGTCTCAGTGCCACTGGTCCCCGGTAGAGGGGCCTGGAGCTGCCATGACGACAGGGGACTGCTGCCACCTGCCCGGCTCCCTCTGCGACTGCCCAGGCAGCGCCGCCCTCTCCAAGTCGGTGGAGGACTCGGACATCGGCCGCCCGCAGTACGTCACCCAGGTCACCCACAAGGATGGACGGCTCCTCTCCACCGTCATCAAGGCGCTGGGCGCCCAGAGGTGAGGCTGCTTCACAGGAGGAGCTTGGGACGACTGCACCTTGGCTTTCTTCCCCTGTTTTTTGGTGACTCTAGGGGTAGAGGGAGTTCCCTGGGATGCTGGTATTGGGTGCAAAATCCCCTTTAGCCAGGTGTTTCCCAGACCTGTGCTCTCGTTGTGGGAGCTCACACCAGTCACACGTGCTGGTGGACTGGGTGCCCATCCAACCCCCCAGGCCTGCAGCCACCCCACCATCACACAGCCTCTTCCTTTGTGCCTCTGCTTAAGCCTGGCTCAGCAGTGGTGGAGCTGGGACCCTGTGCTAGCAAGGGCAGCTTGCTGTTCACAGAGATTATATTAGGGCTGAAAGTTGAGCACAGCCCCTCTTCTCAGGTAGTTTTGGAGTAAAGGGTTGGTGTCTGCAGCCCCAGGGATAGGGAGGGTGATTGTGTTGTAGGAGCTGCAGTGCCCAGCTATTTCTAAAGGGCACTTGTGGCAGCTTCACTTGCTCATCTTCCTGATGTGACTTCTCATCATGTATTTTGAGCAGCTTCCAGAGCAGAGGACACTTGGCAGCATTGTTCAGTCCAGCTAGCAAGATGGTCTTGTTTTGTGTTCAAAACTTGTCTGAACAGCTGGTATTTTTTTTCAATGAATTTGGCCAAATGTTGATGAGGTGTGACAGAGGTGACTGCAAATGTGTGGAACGAGAGTAGGAAAGCTGGAGGAGAACTGAGGCAAATGTAATTGCTGTAACTAGCAAAACCTGGAGTCTGTCAATAAAAATGTGGGAACTGAGCTTGCTCTCTGACCACAGATAGACTGGGCAAGAAGTTGTGCAACCCCTTAAAACTTATAGGGTGTAAAAATTAAGTATTGAAACTGCCTGGGATGACAGGTTAATAAAAACCCAACAGAATTCCCCATGTGAGTTTCTTCACCAGTTCATTCATTGTGGTGGTTTCAGTCTCTTCCTTGTTATCAGCAGTTAGCAAAGCAGCATGACTGTGCTGGAAGGTTGGATTAGTGATATGGTCTGTACAGGCTGCTGGAAAACTGTGTTTAAGGGTGTATTGTGTGGGACTGTGACTGGGCCCCCTCCCCCTCCAGACAGGAAGGAAGGAAAATGGAGTCTGATAAGAATTTTTTTTTTCTCACACTGTCAGCAAATTTTTTCCTTCTGGATTGTTTCTTGGTAGCCAAGGTTATATTAATGCACTGGAAATATGAAACTTTTCAAACAGGAAGAGAATGGATGAAATATCTTACAGATGCTTTTCTTAGGAAAGAACAGATGCATGAGAGGCTTGGGGTTGTTTTGGTCTGTCCCTGGCACTAAGGCTGTGTGGGCAGACTGTCATCTTGCTGTTCTGAGCATTAGGCAGTAAAATAGCCCTGAGCATTAGGGCAGTAAAAGTTACAGAATCATCAAGGAATTCAGAGCAGAAGGGAATTCTGGAGGGTAACTGGACCAGCCTCCTTTCAGAGCAAGGCCAACTTCAAAGTTGGATCAGACTGCTCAGAGCCTTGTCTGATGTAGTTTTCAGTATCTCTGAGGCTGGAGTTTCCACCACCTCTCCAGATTCCTGTTGCAGGGTTTGTTCTGGCTGAAAAAGTGCCCTAAAAAAAAAACCAAACCCAAACATGTGCAAAGGAAGAGAGAACCAGGGTCAGTGGTTCACCAGTAAGGTTTTCATAGAGAGAAGGGGATGGTCCAGTGGGTGTACTCAGCCCTAACTATTGAAGTAAATATTGAATATTAGGGTGAAAGCTGCTAAACATTCATTTGAAAGTGGTAGAGATCCATGGTGCAGCAGGAGAGGAGTCTTGCCCCTCCTTTAGTGAGCTGACATGCACTTTGTTTCTGGCTCTTCTCTTCCCTTCATGTCGCACCAGCGCTTGTGCCCAGTACCCTCCTTTTCCTTGTGTTGTTTCCGTGTCTTGCTCTTGCTTTCTGTTTTGTCTGGTTGTGCAAACTAGTGGAAGTAACTGCACAGCTTTTGAAGATTGCAGAGTGCTTGTTCTGACTGTTGTGTTGCAATATCACAAACTTCTTTTGCAGTCAGGTGGGTATTTTCTAAGTCAGCGGAGAACAAACTGTGAGGTGGGTTCAGCATGGATTTTGTGCTGTCAGCAGGATGTGGAAAAAGGTAATAGCTGATAGAGCTCTCATGGATTTCAAGAGGGCATGCGGTAGGGTCTTTGAAATAAAGATATTCTTTTCTCACCCTCCCTCCCACCCCAAAATCTGTGCAACTGTGGTTGTAAGAGAATGTTTGTTGTGTGAAAGAAAATGACCAGTTGGAAGGTGGGAAAGACGTGAGAGACCAGTGAGGCTCATTTCCATGGTCCAGTAGCCCTGCACTGGGTGTCTGCTGTCCAGAGCTTTGTTCTAAAATGGTCTCAATGAGTGGTGAACACTGAAGAGATGTACTGAATTGCTGAGAATAGTAAACTTTGGTGTCAAGAGCCATTTGAGGTTTCCCAGGGAGCTCAAGACATCATTGTATGGGGCTGGCAGATGTGGCATAGGGCTTCTAGGAAATCTGTGCCTTTGGACGCCAGCTGGGATGCTCTTGGTCCTAAAATAGCACTAGATGTCTGAGTTTAGGGAATGGAATGTTATTGGAAATGCCTGCAGGCTAAAATGATGGTTGCACTTCAGTGTGCAGTGATGCAAAGGAAGAACAATAATCCAGGAGTTACAAATGTGTTCATGGGTTTGGAGGAAGGAGACCTTGGGAAGGAGACCATTTGAGGTCTTGTGCAGCAGTGACCCAAAGGCAGTAAGATACTACGGTTTGGGAAGCTGATGAAGAACAGAACACAGTTACTGCAAAAATCCCTAGTGTGCCCATGTCTTGAAAACTGTAGGTCTGGTTCCTGCAGCTCTAAAAGAATGTTCTAGAACTGCAAGAGGTGGAGGAAAGGGTAGTGGAGGGATCAGAAAGGTGGATGTGTCTCTGTGTAAGACATGACTAGATAGGTTAAGACTCTTCTGCTCATGAAAGAGGTGACTGAGCAGTGGAGGTCTGTAAATCCAGGGCTGTGGAAAACAGAAAACCTGATCTTTTATGGGACAAGAATCAGGGGATAGTACACAGAACTATCAAGTGAGAGGTTTCAGGCGAAAAGGTCTTGGTTCTTTGTGCACCTAGAAAATGTTCTTGCTACAGGAGGACACTGGATGCTGTGAGTTCACATAAGCCACACAAAATTACTTTGTGAATGGCAATTTGTTGTGTGAATATCATCTGATACACCTGAGCTAAGGCTGCAGGATGCTGGAGCAGTAGCACCAGTAGGGCACAGTCAGCACTGCCAGTGAGAGGCCTGAGGGAGCACCTTGGGTGGTTTGCATGTGATCAGTGCAGGCCTCCTGTGGGAAGGGTTGCTAGTGTCTCTGAAAGTGTTTGAAGCATCTCTGGTTCTCTGTGGTCCCAAGAGGGCAGAGCTTGAGCATGACCTAATACATTTGATTCTGCAGTTGAAACTTCCAGCCAAGGAGGGGGTGAGACGTGGTGGTGGTTGAAGCACCAAGGCTGGTTCTCTGCATGGCAGAGTGCAGGTAGGATGGGGGTGAGCTACTGCACTGTGATGGGCAGAGGGTTTCTATGCTGAGAACTTAGTCTGAATGTCTGCTTGCCATGAAATAGGTTGTGTCCTTGGAGAGCTGAGCTTCCAGGGTCAGTGCAGTTGTGTCTTTAGATATCATCGTTCCTTCCACAGTTCCTGCTAAACCCAGGATGCAGAGCAGAGATGGGGTGAGAGTGGGTAGGTGATCTGATAAATGCCCTTATGATTGCAAACCTTGTGAGTGGCTCCAGGTGTCTTGGGTCACTTGGACTAGCACAGGGACCATCAGCTTCGCTTTGGGCTTCTGGATTTGCATCAACACTCCAGGGTTGGTTCTGGGTCCAGTGTCAGCCCCTGCCCACTGTGAGTGGAGCTGGAGACTGGGACATGTGCTGCGCTGCCTTCTGTGGCCAGCTGAGCTGGCCAGGCTGCTGTGCCAGCTTCTCTTGAGTGTTGTGATGCTCATCAACACAGCTTTCAGATTTTACTGACCTAAACATCCTGGGCACCTCCATGCTCCCCTGAGTCTGGTTTCTTGCTGTGTGCCTGGCACACTGTGCCACCTGCTGCTGCCCTGCCTGCTGGGGCCTGGTGGGACCAGACCCCATGCCCCAGTGTGGCTGTGTTGTTCTGCCTGCTCTGACCCTGACCTCATTCTGTTTGTCTGCCTCTTTAGTGATGGGCCCATCTGTCGAATCTGTCATGAAGGTGGAAATGGGGAGGGACTGCTTTCCCCATGTGACTGCACAGGAACACTGGGCACCGTGCACAAGAGCTGCCTGGAGAAATGGTTATCCTCCTCCAACACAAGTTACTGTGAGCTCTGCCACACAGAATTTGTTGTAGAAAGAAGACCAAGACCTTTGACAGAGGTACCACTTTTTTCCTGCTACACTTCTATTTCTTTACCATTTGAGAGAAAATTACTCATTTATCCTGCTGTCTTTGTGGTTCTTGCTGTCTCCTCCTGCTTGCAGTACCTTGGCACCCACAAAGAGCAATTTGTTGAGAGACATGAAGTCCCTTATCAGACCAAGTGACGTCGTCGCAAAAATGCAGTAGTGGTGTTTGGGGCAACTCTTGCCTGTGAACCCCCCTGTGCTCCCTACCAGTGGCAGGTTGTAGGACAAGAGAAAAAAATGCACTTATAGATGCACTTTAATGCCTGGGCATGGAAACACAGAGGTCACCACACAACCAACTGAAATATGAAGCTCTCAGAAATTCTCTTTTCCTGTTAGTTTTAATCTCATCGCACAGTATGTTTGTGCAGCTCTCTTGCATGTGACTTCCTTCTTATGTTCTGCTCTGAGAAGTGAGATGTGGCAATTGCTGATACTGCTCATAAAAGACCTGTCCTTCCTTGACTAATACTGATGTGTGCTTCAAAGCCTTTGGGTCTTGCTCCTTCCTGCTGCGCTGT